GAATTCGCACGCGCTTTTCCCCAGATGCTGCCCAGATGGCGCCCGGAATGTCCTGAAAGCCGCATCTCCCCCCGCATCCAGGGAAAAACGAGGGTAAGACAGAAAAAAGCTCGCCCCTGTCCCTCTCGTCCTTGTCCTGACCCTTCTGCTCCTCCTCCTCCTCCTCCTCCTCCTCCTCCTCCTCCTCCTCCTCCTCCTCCTCCTCCTCCCGCTCAAGCGTTGCTGTGGACAACCGCTCGGAAAAAACGAGGGCAAGACAGAAACCTCGCCCCTGTCCCTCTCCTCCTCCTCCTCCTCCTCCTCATCCTCCTCCTTCTCCCCCCTCCTCCTCCTCCTCCTCCCTCCCTCCTCCTCCTCCTCCTCCTCCTCTCCTCCTCCTCCTCCTCCTCCCCCTCCTCCTCCTCCTCCCTCCTCCTCCCTCCTCCTCCTCCTCCTCCTCCTCCTCCTCCTCCTCCTCCTCCTCCTCCTCCTCCTCCTCCTCCTCCTCCTCCTCCCGCTCCAGCGTTGCTTTGGGACAACCGCTCGGCCCTCCGCGCATTGTCGGGGGAGAGGGGGGCCTTGACGAACAACCGTCATCCTTGGCCTCGCGAGCTCAGTGCTTCGACTAATGCGGGATAACGATCAGTAAAAACAATTGGAGAGAACGATTAAACAAATAGTTGTCTGCTATTTCTGCAACATTTTCTGACTGGAGTAGAACGATTTAAAAAATTAAAAGAGTTTTCCAGCCCGCGGCCGGTTTTTTCTAATCGTCATCCCGGGCGCCGCCGCGTGAACACGACCCCTGGTCATTTATTGATCGTCATCCTCCATTAGGCCTGGACTCTTCAGAGGAGACGCGCGCTGCGGATGGCGATGCGCAGTCGCGGCACGACTGGGAAGAGCACGCAAGAGAAGCCGGAGGACTGCCGGTCGGAGGGCGCAGACGAAGGATGAGGTGGGCCAGGGATGGTGATGCTTTGAAAGATGTCTGGAGGGCGAAGGAGGGAGGCGGATGATCGGGAGAGGCAGAATCAGGAGGATGACGCAGCAGGAGCGTCAAGAGGATAATCAGTGGGACTGTGACACTTTGAAAATTAGCTGGAGGGCGAAGGAGGGAGGCGGATAATCGGAAGAGGCAGAATCAGGAGGATGACGCAGCAGGAGCGTCAAGAGGATAATCAGGGGGACTGCAACAGGAGAGGTGCGTAATGGTCGGGCCGGGCGAGGAAGAAGCGGACGATGTGTACAAAAACGATGATGTCGGACATTGCGCTGCTGCGTGATGATGATTCAGATGATGTTCGCGCGGCTCTTGACGCAGACCTCGACCCCCCAGACGCCGAGCAAACACGGACCAACCGGAGCTGCGACAGGAAGCAATCCGTACACTTCTGCCAGCGGCGAGGTGAAGGCACAAAGCGCTATGCAGCAGCAGCCGGGTCGCGGAAGAGCTAGTGGTGCACCTGCACGGGCAGACAAGGGAAGAAGTGCGGCAACCGGGATGCGGCAGGTTCGTGTCGTGCCGACCCCAGCGTTGGTTTTTGACACCGCAGGGATCGTTCAACCTTAAACGATCGGCCGCTGCCGCAACGTCCGATCGTTCAACGTCGATCGATTCTGGGTCGCCAGCGGCGTTCAACCTTGAACGCCCACGCTGGGGTCGCCGCTGGTCGACACGACGCAAACCTACCGTAAGGAGCCGCGTTCAGAGCACAAAGCACTTCACGCGCGAAGCGGGCGGCCCTTACACGGAGGAGGCGCCACACTGACGTGCGCCCCCGCGTGGATAACGGCCAGGTCTCGGCCAGGGACGCCCGACCGATCGGCGGCCCCACCGCCCAGAGGAGCCCACACTGGCGAGCTCATCCATGCGCTCGCCCCCCCCCCCTCGGGGAGGCCTGGAAAGGGGCACCAACACCAAGACAGAGGGCTGCCTCCACAGGGGGGAGGTGATCCTAGATTTCGGTGTTGGTGGTAATATTAATATTTCGGCCGCCTTGGAAGCCAGAATCTTACCACCATCACCGTGATCGGGATCTTCTTCCCTCGGTGGAGGAACGCCGCCGATCTTGGTGTTGGTGTCAACCTCTACAGTCATCGGCCTGACCTAAGGAACGATAAATATGGAACGAAGCCCCTTTTTTATCCCAAGGAATGACGCATAAGGAACGGTAAATAATAAATAACGCATAGGGAAGTATACATAACGCATGCAAACCTGAGGAACGACCGAGCCCCTTTTGAAAAGTAAGTGTTCCTTATTCAAGCCGCTCACTGTAGGCCTGCGACCCTCTCTCTGGCAACTCCTCCGCGAGAGCCGCCTCACACCCGAGGCCACCCCGACACCCCGCGGCCGCGCGGGCACGAGCCGCCCGGCCGTGGGCGCCTCCGCCACCAAGAACAGTGGAGCCGAACCCTGCGGGCCTCACCCCCGCGCAAAAGGGCGCGACCGCCGGCGCGCCCTCCCGGCCACGGGCGCGGGCACCGCCGAGGGGCCGCAGGAGCGAAGACGAGGCCGGAGGCCGGAGGGTGCGGGCCCCTTGCCGTATGTTGCCCCCAGCGTGCGTAAGGGCCACATCCCAGAACTCGCCATCGCTCGGACGTCCATTCCCTGTGTTTTTTTTCGGTTTCGTGCGTGGTTTTTTCGCCGAATGATCAAGGATGCTCCTCGATGGTCCTCGCCGAGAAAAAAAAGCACACGTCCGAGCGATGCCAGGAGAAATAACTCCGGGCACCCAGAAGAGTATCGGAGCGGTGTCGAACGAGTACCGGCTCCCGGGGCCCGACACGTGAACACCCTCAGGTTTCGGTATTATCTTGGTGCTAGAGGCTCTCTCTGGCGATCGAGGCTAAGGTGCCGCGCTGTCTCCTGGTGGTCGCGTCCTGCCGCGGGCCCCTGCCAAGGGAGTGCCGCTCCTGCACACCTGGCTCGAGACGCAGCGAGTGCGGGGCAGTGCCCGAACATGTTCAAGCTAACCCGATGGAAATCAAATGCTCGAGCGAACGGTGGTCAAAACACTGCTAGCTGCAAATGCATCCCTAAACGGCTGCAACAGAGGGGGAAGGAACAATGGCGTGCGATGCAGGCATGTCGCCATCACCCCCATGGACCTCTTCAGGTAGCACTACATAATGATGTAGCCGAGGCACTCTTTGCAGGGCCTGCCAGTGACTGAGGCGGCAAAACAGCTCAAAACGTTAGCTCCCAACTCGCAAAGGCACAATGGCAATTCCCGTCCAGAATCAATTCTGGACAAAGTCCCACAGGACGCATTGAGGAACGAATGGGCTGCGATGGAACACGCATTCCTCGAGGCACCGAACCGGGACATCATGCATCAGAAATGATCGGCGCAATCAGCGTCCCGGTCACAAATACACACCTTCGACCCTCGCCCAAGTATGAGCTAAACGCTCGATGTCCACATCCGCGATAACCTTCTGCCACAGACGTTGGGAACCGCTCTTGCAAACCCAGTGGTCCAACTCCTCGTCGATAAAAACCCCAACTCATGAGACCAGCCCCGCACGAGGGTTCCGACATTCAGACAAGTGTGGTCGACTGCTGTCCTGGCCATGCCGGCGGTTCCGCAATCATGGCGCCGCCGTGCCCGAATCTCATCAGGGAGACACTGGACTTCAGCCTGCGAGCGGCCCTTCAAGGCAGATTTGTGCAGTGGCATCGGGAACCGCGCTGAAGATGATAATTCCGCTGACTGAGCCAGTGAGGAAAATACACTGGAAAGCAAGCCGCTTGTCGAACGACACGGTGTGCTCGTGGGGGGACAGTCTGATGCCGACATGGTCGCCAGTTGCCATGCTGAGAAAAGACCACTCTTCTGAATACCAGCGACGCCCGCTCGGGCTTAACGTGCCGATCCCTCAAAGCCCGCGATTTGCTGGCATGGTAGTTCTGATACTGCTTGGGGCGCACGAGGCGCTCCTGGACACTGGCCGGGAGCGTGAGCAAGTGGGACGCAAAGTCTCGAGATGGCTGACACAGGGAGAGAAAACAACACATACACGTAGACTTTTGGTGCTCCGCCCCGAGTTTTTGAACCTGCGCTGGGCCCCCCCCTCCCTGGCGCCGGAGGCGCCGCCGGGGGCGCCCTGCGCGGATCCGAGAGATCTGCGCGGAGCGCCAAAAGCTCACGTTTATGGCCTTTCCTCTTCGATGGCATGGATCGTGGATCGAGCGACTCGCGCGGGCCACAGCACCGGAGATCTCTCGACCATCAGTGAAGGGGCCCCAGGACACACAAATAAATACACACAAATAAACATGTCCCCCATATTTTCCCATATTTTCTGTGTTTCTGTCTTCCCCCCCAATTCCCATATGTTCCAATATTTTTTGGGGAATCGACGATTAATTGTGTATGTGTTTTTTCCCTCCTGGGAATGGCCGCGCGTGTGCGCGCGTGTGCGCGCGTGCGCGAGTACAGCCTACCCGCATCATAAGGACGCACGCTAAGGATCCCAGGGCCTTGGTGGAAGGCCGTATCGACGCGTTGGCAACGGGGCCCCACACGCCATCGCTCGGACGTCCATTCCCTGTGTTTTTCTCGGCTTCGTGCGTGGTTTTTTCGCCAAATGATCAAGGATGCTCCTCGATGGTCCTCGCCGAAGGAAAAATGCACACGTCCGAGCGATGCCAAGCCCAGGCTGTATACTGCGGGGCCCTGGGCTGTCTCGGAGGGCTCGGGCGGTTCCAGTCGCGCACGCGCGCTCGCTTCTTTACGACCTTCTCCGCCCTGTCGCCGAGCGCAGGGCCACGACGCCAAAAAGTTTGTGCCTGTGTGTGTGTGTGTGCGTGTGTGTGTGTGTGTGTGTGTGTGTGTGCGTGTGCGTGTGCGTGTGCGTGTGCGTGTGCGTGTGCGTGTGCGTGTGCGTGTGCGTGTGCGTGTGTGTGTGTGTGTGTGTGTGTGTGTGTGTGTAAGTGTGTAAGTGTGTGTGTGTGTGGGTGTGTGTGTAAATGTAAGTGTGTGTGTGTGCGTGTGTGTATGTGTGTGTACGTATGTGTGTGTGTGTCTGTGTCTGTGTCTGTCACTCGTACCTGAGGCGCACAGCAGGATTCCAAGGGCTAGAAAGGCCTACCTTTCCCACAAGACGGCGGCAGCCTTCTCAGAAGTCCTCGAAGATCCCAGATTCACTTTATTTGATTTAGGTGTGGTGCCAAAATGGCGAGAGCCAACACTGAACGTAGAAGGTGTGGTGCTCGCAGAAAGGCGAGAGCATGCCAGTTGTTGCTCCAACGGAGCGGGCGACGGGACTGGTGTCGGGGCTGGCGTTGGGGCTGGTGCATCACAATCCGTGTCGCAGTCCGCTGCTGCCAGAGCCCCCAACTCAACCCCTTCCACGGACATGATATTGAGCATTTGGGCCCACCAGTCGAGGTTGATTTCATGACGGACAAAATGTGCCAGATCGGCCTCTGGAGCCTGCACCTCTGTCCTCTCTGCGGAGGCGTTCGCGCCCAGGGAGGAGCCCGACCCAGCGGATGAGGACGCGCACCGAGAAGTGGACTGCTCGCACTCCGTGTCCATCGCACTCTGTGTGACGCACGTCCCATCTGCAGCAGCGGCCTCGACGTGCCTCGCACTGGTCGGGCTGGCCAGTCGGGCTGCTCGCCTCTGCCGGCGAGTCAATCTCGGCTGAGAGCCTCCATCATCAGCGGCGCGCGCGGCGGGGCCGCCAGAGGCGGCAGCAAAAGTATCGTGCGGGGAGGCTGGCACGAAAGTGCCCAGCTGCTTCACCTTCACCAGCATTTGATCCACAGCCTTCATGACCTCCTGCTGCACCCTTTGCGCATGCGCGCCCAGCCGAACCTCCAAGCGTCGATCCAGCCCAGCATCGATGGACTTCCCCATTGAGTTGGCCAGCCTCTTGATGTCCGCAGAGCACTTCTGAAGAGATAACGTGACAGCGTCCACCCGAGCAACAAGTGTATTGAGTGCCGAAGCGCCATTGTAAGCCTGTGACGGGACATGCAAAGAAGAATGGGCACGTGCATCCTCCAGCTCCTGGACCAGGCCAGAAATTGTAGAATTTTGAGACTCGATAAGAGCTTGCATCAATTTATTTGACTGTAATTGATCACAGGGAACAAACGGCGAAGCAGAAGGGGACAATCCAGAATTCGAAAGTGGACCAAAAACACCGTCTCGCTCCAGAGCCTCGAAGATCGATATGGGGATAGGCTTGGACTGCTTGCTGCGCTTGGACCTCGCTCGGCGAAGAGACATCCAAGATGGCCACCATCCAAGGAACCCCCGATGTTTCGCCCTATTGGCCAAGTCGTTGAGGGCGGCCAGTGGCCGATACAGAACTCCCGTCCGCTGAAGTGCCAGAGCAGTGGAAGCGAACTCCTCACCAATCAACTGCACTATGAGGAAATGAATAGACAGCTGCGCCGCGACAAGGGCGATGCGGATACCCAGCAGCGGCAGAGCGAGAACAAAGCGAACGCAAAACATCAATTAATGCGAATTGCGTAGCACATCCTGGCTTGGGCCTGGCTTGAGCCAAAATGGCTACGGATCTGTGTCTGTGTCTGTGTCTGTGTATGTGTCTGTGTGTTTGCATCAACGGGATCAAAATAGATTCCTGAGGGCCCGGGTGCGGCTGCGCGCTTGGTACTCGTAGTGTCTCCCGCCTCGTCGCCACGCGCGAGGCCGCTACCGCCCAAAAGTGTGTAAGTGTGTGCGCGTGTGCGTGTATGTGATCGCGCGCTTGCGTGTAGCAGCTCGTGTAGCAGCACAGACCGAGACTTTGCGGATGTCGCGCTCTGACGCGTTCCGAGCCGCGCTGCAGAACCGTCACGCCCGAAGTGGGTGTCATCCTGACCATCATCGGCTGGCCTTGAGCCAACAATGTTTTGAGGGATGGCCACGGGCGATAATGGTGATGATGGCGACGGGGGAGGACGACAAGGAGGAGGGGGCGGAAGAGCACCTAGTCTAAATGGGCAACGGCTCGGAAGATCCAGAGCAGATGCAAGGCTCGGATATGGCCTTCTTTGCCGCCCTCGCCAATATCTGGCCACCGCTGAGGTCTCCTGCGGCACGCGGGGATAGAGGATGAGGGAGGGGATGAGAAGAACGAGGAGGCGGGACGGAGGAAGAGCAAGGGCGGGGGAGGAGGAGGGAAGAGGGGGATGTGGAGGGAGGAGGGAAGGACATGAGGATAGAGCAGGAAGGCAAGGACGGAGAAGGGAGTGGAAAGAAGGAGGAGGCGGAGGAGAGAGAGAGGAGGAGCATCGGACATCGGACGGGCAACTGTCGCCAGCTACGGCGTCCCGGGTAGGTGCCCCAGCACCAGGCACGTGAAAAGCTCGAACGCAGATGAACGAGAGTGAAGGAGCCCAGGGTGACACAAATAAATTCGAATTTCAGGATCCACTATATTTGCCAATAACTGTTTTGTTTGTCTTCCCATCCATGTCCAATATTTTCAAATCATTTCCAGGAAATCGACGAGTGTCTGTGTCTGTATCTAGTGTTCCCTCCAGAAAGGGTGCCGAAAACGAACACGCAAAGCAAGATCGGGCGCACCTCTGCCGGCACAGGACGGTTCGAGCACCTCCCACCCGTGGCCGCCTCGGGGCCATCACACGGAAGGCATCGCGACCCCTAATCTCCGACTCTGTGGGACTTCCGATGGGCACGGGACTTTGGGGACAAGCTCGGGGATGCACGGTGGGAGGGGGCCTCCATCCTTGGTGTGGTGGGGGCTGCGGGCGAACAGGGCCGCGCCTTATTTTCGATCCGCCGTTCCATGGGTGGGGTGGGGTCTCGGCGATTGGGGGCGAGGATATTGTCTGCGGCCTCCCGCCTGGGCCCTCGGGGGGTGAGGCTAACCGCGGCGAGTTCCCCCCCAGCAGCTTGGCACAGAGCCAGGCGGAGACGGGGCACTGAGACAAGGCCCATGGCGCCCGGTGAAAGCATCACACCAGACGGGGGAAACCGCAAGGTATCGATACCGCTGCTCCCCGGGCCCCTCCCAGGGGTGCGCTCTGACCCAGAAAGCTCGGGGCGCATCCGGCGGAGGCGGCGAGGGCCTCCCCCGAGGCCCAAACCAGCGAAGCCGCGGGACGGGCAGCAGGCCGGCACCACCCTCCTCCGAGCTCGGCGAACGCCTCGCTCCAGACGGCAGCTTGAGGGATGAAAAAACGACCCTACCCTGGGTTACAAGTGCGTGGTCCGTAAACCTCCTGGGAACCCCCAAAAGCCTAGAGGACGCCAGGACGCCGCACGTCACGCAGGGTTCACCCTGTCAGCCCACAGGAGTTTCAGCGCACAGCGCCACGTAAACCAGGGCAGGAGCGTTTATGAAGCCCTGGAGCATCGGCGTTCGACCCCAAGCTTTGCTCGACCGGCCCGGCCCTCCCGCCCCCTCGGCAGGCGCCCCCCCCCCGCCCCGCAGGAGTGCCGGCTCGGCGGGCGCCCCTGCGCCCCCCGCGCCCCCGCGGACACCTCGCCCACTCGCCCCGCGCCCCTGCTCCTGGGCCCCCCTCCTCCGCTGCGCGCCGCGCTCGTGCGCCGCACGGCGCTCGTGCCCGCGCCGCCGGTGGGTGCACAGTCGAATTCGATAGTTCGGGCGTGAGGGTACCCATCGGTCGGAAGAGGTGGGTAGAACCATGAAGCAGGAAGGCGTTGAATGTAGATTGGGTTCCGTCCGCCCCCCTGGGAGGACGGAAAAAGTGAAGCCACTCGATCATTGATCATTGAATTAAGAATGCGCTCAAAGTAGATTGGAATATGGGAATCCAAAAATACTAGCTTTCAACGACAAATGGGTAAGGATGCAAGGCACTGGGACCTTCCAAGCTGGACGCCCTTGGATGCCGAAAGTGGCAGAGGAATGGCAAAGGAAGGAAGGATGCAAGGTCCCCTGGGCAGAAGTGCCGCGTCCTCACCATGGACTTTGACTGTAAGGGGGTAGAACGAGGACCCAACACGACAGGATGGTTGGGAATTTTCCGGGCGAGGGAATCAGCCATATGAAAGTGTGAGCACCGCAAGTAAGATAAGACGAAGGAGGGAGCAGCTCCCCACGGGGCCCCGAAACGTGCGAGGGGTGTTTTCAACAAAGTGGAAGGGGGACGCATGTGGACTGTGCCGCTGGGGCCTTGAGTGGAGCTTCCTGTGAGGCCACGAAGCGTGTAACGGGTGTGCTGGAATGGGCGGGGGGCCGCATACGGACTGTGCTGCTGGGGCCTTCGGTGGAGCTCCGTGGGGCCATGAAACGTGTGAGGGGCGTGCCCAGTAAATTGGCGGGGGGGCGCATACGGACTGTGCCACGGGGTCCTTGGGTGGACTTCCTATGAGGCCACGAAACGTGTCATAGGTGTGCTGGAATGGGCGGGGGGGCGCATACGGACTGTGCCGCTGGGGCCTTCGGTGGAGTTCCCTGTGGGGCCGCGAAACTTGTGAGAGGTTTGCCCAATAAATTGGCGGGGGGGCGCATGTGGACTATGCCGCTGCGGCCTTGCGTGTAGCCCCTTATGGAGCCACGAAGCGTGTGACGGGTTTGCTGGAAGCGGCGTGGGGCGCATGCGGACTGTGCCGCTGGGGCCTTTGGTGGAGTTGCTGGTGGGGCCACAAAAGATGCGATGGGGTGTGCCAATATGGGCGGGGGGACGCATGCGAACCCTCCCACTAGGGCCTTCGGTGGAGCACCCTGGGGGACCACGAAACGTGTAAGGGGTGTGCCGAAATCGGCGCGGCGACAATGCGGACTGTGCCTCTGGGGCATTGGGTGGGGCTCCCGATGGGGCAACGAAGCGACTGAGGAGCGTGCTGATTTGGGCGAGTTGACTCGTGCGGACTGCGCCGCTGGGGCTTCGACTGGAGCTCACAACGTGTGGCCAAGCCGACCAACAGCCTAGAGGGTCTATCGCGGAGGACGTCGTTGTCAATGCAAGTGGCTGTGCCTGGCGGGCCAGCGACAGGACCCCTCTATGAAAGAGGGCCGCCATCCTCCACAACGGGCTCGGTCTTCCCAGTAAGCGTCTCTCCCATCTCACGGGCTTCAGCTTTGCGCAGACCGGGAGCCTGGAGGCAGTCAGGCATACAGCGGCTCGCGGCGGCCATCGAAACCTGGGGTCTGCTCGGGGCCCGGGGCCCTGCCGCCTGCACACCAGAACGCGCGGCCAGAAAACGAGGACCGACAAGCTGAACAGCCACGTGCTTTGGAGAAACGGCCGTACCCGACTTCTGCGATGTGCTGGGGTGCTTGAATTTACGGAAGCGGCTGGGAATTATCTGAGCATTTCCTACACACGCGTGCCCTCATCCTGGGCACAGCTCCACCAGCCAACTTGCCCCTGCCGAAATGGTCACATATCGCCAGCAGATGGTGCAAAACAGGAGCGGGGTCTGGCACTCTTCGTTTACAGGAAACTCAAGCAAGCAGGGACCCCCCTCCCCCACCCGTCACCCCCCCGCCCTCCAAGGCGCCGTCAAAGTGGCCTCTGCGCACGGTTGCCTGGCGCCCCACCGATCCCAACACGCCCGTCCTCCGAAGCCGCCATTCGAAAGTGCGGCAGTCCATTTGAAAGCCTCCAAGACAGGTCCCGCGACCACGCCCCGGCGGGGCCAGTCTCACCTAGCGCTGTCGCGCCTGCGGGCGCCGAGGGCCCAGCTCCTCTGGGCGCGAAAGCGGGGGGCGCCTGCCTGAGATGCAGGGTCTGCCCCGAGGGCTCCTTGAGAAAAGAAAAGCCCAGGGGCGGAAAACCCCGTCCCAGCGCGCGCCACAGGGGGATTCCACCAGAGCCGACGCGGGGCATTCCACCTGAGCCCAAGGATTGGAAGCGGCTTGGGGCAAGAAGCTACGCGCTGCGCCACGTCGAACAAAGTCGCCCAGACTTTGTCCAAGAGCCGCCCACCCTGCGAAATCTGAACGCGCGCCTTGACCGCGCCCGCGGAAACTTGGACAACAGGGTTTCTAGACGAGCCCCGTCGCGCGCGCGCGCGTTGAGGTCAGCCCGAGCAAGCAGCCTCCGATAAGCCTGCCCTCAAATCGTGACGGGGCGACTCTGAACTTCTGAGCTCGTCGGCAGGAAGCCCCCGGGCGTCGGCCCCGCAGCGGGCCTCGGCCGCAGCGGGCGCTCCGGCCCCTCGAAGGCCAAGCAGCTTCGCCACCTCAGCCTGGGCCTCGAGGGGCCTAGCCTGATGGGTAGACGCTCCCCCCTCGGCTCCGTCGGCGACGCCCCCGCCGAAGTCGCGGCGGGCTCGGCCGCGCCCCCTCCGACACCGACGCGGCCAAGGAGGCGCCGGTGGCCAGAATGCCGGGCTTCTCCCATCAGTTGGGGGGCCTCTGGCCAGCACGTCCTGCGCGCGGAGGTTAGCGGAGCTGACCAGCATCCTTCGCACGGCGGCCTCGCACCCGATCGCATGGGGGGGCATGTCGCCAATCGCGCTATTGAGGGCCCCTGTATTGCAAGTTCGGACATCCCTGCGTGACGCATGAACACGCAGCAGGCGGGCGAGCGAAGTGGCCCCCTAGGGTCGGGCAGCCTGCATGGACAGCGCAGACTGGGGAAATGAGTTTCCAGGTCGCCATTTGGAGGGGCGCGCGCCGAAGGGAACGGTGAAACGCGCAGTGTACTCGCAGAAGAGCATTCGGAAAGCCAGTCCTGCTGCCACCCTAATCTCAGCGTGACTTATGCGCTCGTGAAGTTTCTGGAGGCCCTGGAACATCGCGCCCGAAACGAGCGCGGGAGCCCCCCGACCAGACGCAGATTTTGCATTGCAAATCCACGCGCCATTTTGTCGCAGGGCGTTGCTCTAGCCGAGCCCCAGAACAAAAAATGCGTCAGTTCCTTCCGCCAGGCCGCGCAACGACAGTGCCCGATGCGACTCCAGACTCTGGCCCGCAGGGGGAGAAGACCAATCCGCCTCGCTCCCCCAGAGGGCTCGGGCAGCAAGAAACAAGGACAACTAATAGGAGCGGACCAGGTTAAGGGCCCCCCCCCCCATGCCGCGAAGCTAACAGCGAACGCCTGAATCAGATGCCCGGGGAGCTGCGGCGGAAGCCTGGGGTGGGGAAAACCCC